CGTAACACTCATAATAGTCAAATTAATGCTCATTATAACCCTTCTCCTGTTTTTTTATCAATTTTTTAAAAACTTAACTCTAATTTCAATTGATAATGATAACTATCATATAATGTTATCACATGCCAATATCCATACATACACACAGTTCTAGTCTATCATGAAGTAATCAGTAACCTCAGTTTGCCTGCCTTTTGATACGCCTGAGACATAAGTAATATTGAGTTTACTCAGAAAAGACATTCCTTCTGTTGCTTCCTCAGTGTAGCCATTAAATTCCAAAAAATGCACTATGTCTTCTAACTTGTTTATAGCTTCAGTCATTTCCTTTATCACTGGAGGAGTAACTTGATCTGGCTCTTCATCTACTGGGTCTTCATCCTCCTGGACGTCCTGGTCATCATCAACGCGTCTTGCCTTTGAAGCAGACTGTCCTATATCAATCCCAGACAGGAATTCTTCTTCCCAGTTATCGTTATTAAATTCTTCACAAATAGCAATGTTGTCATCTGCTAATAAGAGATCTTTGCTGGAGCAAGAGCCATCCAAATGCAAGCGAGTAATGAGATCATCCATTTCTGTGTCATGGGAGGGATCATGGCGAACTAATGCAGTAGGCAATTCCTGAAGTCGTCCTGCAGATTCATCATTGTCATCATCAAGGTCACTAAACGGATCTAAAGTACTTCTTGCAACAATATCAGATAGATTCGCAACTAGGATTCCTGCCTTTCTAAAACACTTCTTTATTGTCTCTTCTTGAACTTGTCCCCATGCCTGAGAAATCCATCTTATAGCTTGAAGTATAGTGATCCCTTTAGCAATGTCATGGGCAGTATTGGAGGACTCTGAATCAATCTTGGCAAGAATATACTGCATTAGCAATTTGCGGTAATAGATCTTAAAGGCCATGATGATTCCTAAGTCCAGCGGTTGGAGTTTAGAAGTAGTGTTAGGCGGCAAGAAAACCACTTTAATTTGGCTGAATTTCTCGGATATGTCATTGGGATGGCACCCAGCATTGTCCATCAGCAAAAGAATCGATCTACTTTGAGCCTTGAGCTTTGAGTTGAGGGACTTCAGTACTTGATTAAGTATCTCCCCAGTCATCCATGATTTGGCCTGACTAAAGTACAGTACTGGAAGCTTATCTTTTTTGATTTTTTTAAAACATCGTGGGTTTGCTGAACTCCCTATAACAATCGGAAGCGTCTCTGCTTTGCCAGCCGCATTGACAATGAATGCCACTGTAACCCTATTCTTGCTTTTCTTCCCCCCCCTTGCAGTCTTTCTTTGCTTGTGCCAATCCCTTATCAGGCAATGCTCGCCAAAAACATCCAGTTTCATCAATGTTACAAATATCTTCTGCTTTATAACCTTGGACTAATTCAGGGATTCTCTCCTTCCATGATTCCTCTGTTAGTGTGTTAACTTCTCCAGACTCACCACTGACTGTTCTCTGCTTAATGTTATGCCTACTTTTCCATCGATGTAACCAGCCGTTTGAGGCCTTGAAATCATTGTGCCCCAGGTGAGCTGCAATTAATCTGGCCTTCTCTGCCAATAAGCTTCCATCAGGATACAGGTTTCTCTTGACAGCTAGCTGGTACCACTGATAAAGGGAGTCATTTACGTCCGAATATTCTGAAGTACGAATTCTTTTTCTAACTTGACACAAACCACCATTACTATTGGACTCGTAAAGATCTTTAATTCTTTCTTTATCTCTTAAGATACAACTGATTTGTGTTTTCCCGCAGCTGAAAATGTCTGCAAGTCTCCTTACACCAATTTTTGGCTCTTTCTCTGCCCTCTGGATCACTTCATACTTTAGTTGTAATGACAGGTCATTCCTTTTCTTGGTTGTTGACATTTTTACAGCAAACAATAATTACAAAGTGAGCAAACTGACTTACTAAACCAGCTGCTACAAGCATGTGCGCACGTGTGTCTCGCGTGATCACCAGTGAATCCAAAATGGAAGCGAGAATGGAACAGTTAACTATCACTTCATTTGTGAGGGGATATCACGCTTACCAAGACTTCTGGACTCCTCAAATTGGGGAAATACTTGAGCTAAGAAGAGAGCCAGAGAATATTAAAGACAATCTCGCTGTTGCTGTGGTTAAGAGCGACGCCGTTGTCGGACACGTTCCTTACAATTTAGCTCCTACACTTTCCCATTTCTTGAACAGAGGTGGCAATACCGGAACAGCTGAAATCACAGGATCAAAACTAAATAGAGGTGGAGGGTATGGGCTAGAAGTACCATGCATTTACCGTTTATGTGGTGCTAAGAAATATATTGAAAAGATGAGGAGAATGAATTTGGATAATGATGATAAAGACGCAAGTAACGCTTGAGTTGCAAGATTATTGTACTAGATAATATTATACATTATTACGAGTTGTATTAATGTGATTAGTTTTATTAATTAATTGTTGCCCCGCCCACTGTACGGAATAATAAGAGTAATTGGTTATTTCGTCCAATAAAATCCGTCCGCTTTACGGAATAACGAGGCGTCCGGAAATAAGGGGTCAATTTACATGGAGGAAGTCTAAATTTCGATCGGTGCCTGAACTTATTGTCCGGTAAAGGAAGGTTTCCGCATTTCAGGGGTTCGGAATAGCGAGGTTCCACTGTAGTTTATAATATACGGAATTTAGCATTGATTGTATCAATGATCATGAATTGATCTCGTTCATTTTGATTTCATCATGATTTGATTGTTGTAGCTAGTAGAGAAGTATGCTATTTTATTTGCAACTCTTGATTTATTCCTAATATTAGTAGATCTATTTCAACTTTCAAGATGGAAAGCTTGGAAAGACTATATTAGTAGTCCATGACACTGACAAGTGACACTGTACCGCACTGCACTAATCTCAGTGATTTGATAATTATGTAAGCAATTGTTTTAATCTAAAGTTGTCTATGCATGCATTATATTTGTTTTTTGTGAATTACGTCTTTAATTATCTATTGAATTTGTATATTTAACAATAATTTTATTTTAAGTCAAGTTACATCATAATAATATACAGCAAAATATTTATTGTCCTTTAATACTCATCACTGTTTAATATCCATCATTGTCATCGTAATGGTATTTTTGTGGGTGGCCATATTCATACTCATCCTTCACACACTTGGGCTCTTTGCCATCCCAATGACCACTTGGAAGGCACACACGTTTGCTGGGACCACTGAGACTATATCCGTATATGCAGTCATAGCGTAAATAAGATCCTGGATAATTTCCACTGGCATACACCTTTCCGTATCTTGGAGGTGATACTTTTGGGCATTTAATCC